CCTTTGAGAGAGTCTTCGCCACGACATATTTTTCTTGCTCCCCTTGAATATTTGGTTGGATACTGGCGTGACCAAACGAACACGGCCGCCAACGTTCGAGATATATGAGGTGGCGATATTTCTTGGAAGTTTCGTTACCGACACCTGCAAGCGCGTAATCCTTCACATTTTAGCCCGAATGCCCGGTATTTGTACACGCCGGGGTGGAGAATATCTAGTGGCCCTTGGTTGTTAGGTCTATGGAGCCCATGTCTTTTATGCATTGCTGAAATCACATTCCTGAGTTTGGCGTTTCGCTTTTTTGTACTCCATAACCATCCAAAAATATGGCACAAGTATGGTGGGTTTTCTATGTCGTCGACAAAAAATGTTCCACACATTCCAAGCAGTTTCCTTATGTTTCACTAGCAGAAAATGTAGTGCGGAAAAAAGTATACGAAGATCCATGAGTTCGCCGTTTTCGACTATAACCCCAAGCACTTTAGTATTCACATCATAGGACGTCACTCAAGTCCATACGACTTCCAATTCATGTACAGGTTATTGCCTTCGCATTTAACAATTCGTTGTAATGTAAGGAAGCTTTAAAAATACACCTCTGCTGGTTTCCCCATACGAAGGTTAACCATGTCTAGTCATTCGAGTCGTGTTGTCGTACTTGTCTTCATTGGCATGTATTATCCTAATGCAACTCGTTTTCCAAATATTCTCCAAAATTACTCAGCTCAGAATGGTAGGACCCATCAGTCTCTGGAAATATAAACCAGTGTCATATACACATCTAACAACTATGTGGCCCTCCACGATGCGCGGAGGACGTTCAGAATTAAGAGGCAGAAATCTGAAAATGCAGTGGTCGGAATCCAGGAACCTTTTTGCAAAGTTGGAGGGGGAGGGAGAGCGTCAAGTTCCAGGGAACACACAATGAAGCGCAGCTCCTCCTTTGACGAAATCCTTGATTCGCCGCGGATCAGCTGTCACTTAAATGTGTCAATCCTAAAAATTTGATACGTTATGCATGTGAATGCCATAACCAGTACTCAACGGCACGGCAATACCGTGCAAAGCTCTACAGTCGTTTTGTACCGTGCCGAGGTGGATGAGTGATTTGCCCACCTCTAAAATGAGGTAGATGTTTGTCTTTATTGCAGACAAATATTTATCGTGCATTCCTTACTTGCCCTTCCAACTGGCTCTAACTGGCTCACTGGCTTGTAAACTGCGACTCATCTGGTCACTATGGGTTAAGATAAGGAGCTGGCGTGCCTCTGAGGGAGGGGGAGGGGCAGGGGTACTCTTGCACCATCGTTTGTCGTCCTTTCCCCGCCTCTGGTGATAGTGGTGACGTATATATCGCATATTGTAATATATGCTTTGCCCCTGGCTACCGCCTTGTGCGCGATTGCGGTGTTGTACCCAGGTCGTGCTGGGTTCTGACCAGAAGGCGGGACATTGAGGAGGGTGCCACAAAGAAGCTCGCCGATCGGTGGTGATGACACGCAGGTCCAGTGAGTGAGTGCAGCGCTGAAACATCGTTGATAGTTGACGCGAGTTTGTGTTGTAGCTGATTTGGAAATCTGATCTCGTGCGCCATGAGAGCAGGTTCCCAGGTCCATAGAGATGCGTCGCACTGCTGTGGGATGTGTCGCTCTGCTGTGGAATATGTACTATCGTTCTGATTGAGATGTGTTGTTCTGCTGTGATGTTGTGGTCACGCAGGTTTGTTTGTAATGCTGATTTGGAGGTTTGGTTTTTGTCAGGGTATGTCAATGCAAACGCGACGTTCTGTCGCTCTGCTGTGGGATGCATTGATCTGTAATGGAATGCGTCATTCAACTGCGGGTTGCGCTGTTCTGCTGTGCTGTGTTCCGACGACACGACATTGTGTTGTGACGCGTCCCGGCGTATGTCGAAGGAGACGCGTCGTTTTGCTGTGGAATGAGTAAATCTGCTGAGATACGTCGTCCTGTTGTTCTTCTTATGCAGATGTGCCATGCTGTTGGGCTACGTTATGATTACCCACGCTTGCATTGTTACGCTGACCTGAATAATTTTGTTTCTGTCTCTGTTGGGTTTCGATGGCGATGCAGAAATTTATTGCATGGTCGTATATTGCAAGTTTATCAACACGAAGACTGAAAAAGGGTTGAGACCCGAGAGTCTTCGGAGACCATCAAGGCATCTGTTTGGCCTAGGAACGCTATTTTGCAAGGTTCTCGGCATCAGCGCAGGTTATCTCGCTCGAGAATGTTCAGTTATCTCCAAGTTTCTAATTGGCCGGTCACGGAGACATTCAAGCATCCTTATGTGGGTTAATTCGTGCCAACACTGAGACCTAGCAAAAAAAAAAAGAGAGAAAAATGACACGAGACAAAAGACCCCGTTTGTGTCTCGTTAAGTGGCTCTCTGCAGAGGCAAGATCGACCCCTCGATAGCCTTTGAGAACTTTTGATAGGCTTGCCTGTTTTTCAGTGTAGCTGAGTTGGTCGGAGCGCCTGTATCCTAATACACCTAATGGAATCGGGCAAAGTTCGAACCGCTCTATGCGCTCATTATTTGTCCCCGGCTGGCATCGACTGTAGCCGGTGGCGGCCGGTTCGGGAAAGGTCAGATGACGGCAGGGTGTCCTACCATCAGGGTAAGCGCGCGGTACCCGCGTTGCGACTCGTCAAGATTTCGTCGCAAAATTCTTCCCGTTGGCACGGAGGCTCACGATCGGACGGTGGTGTCAGGGCTCCCAAAACAAAACCACTTAGCGTGAGGCGCTGATCCCTCCAATTTATGTGATAAAAAGATGAAATCAAACACCGCAGCATTCCTCGTTTTTTGGTTTCATATCTAGTGCCGAATTGAGGTGAATAGCAAGTATGTTGGCCTGCCGCTCGCTCGCCTAGTATGCGACAGATATGAATGCACGGCAGCCTCTTCAGCTCACTTCGATGCCGGTCAAGCTTTATTTCCACATGCAGAGAGCGAGGCTAGCCGTCCAACGAATGAGCCAGTCATCAATCATTCCACCGCTCTGACCTGTCTGCTGCCGAGAGCATGCCCCTGGATCAGGACTATTGTGCGCAGCAGCTTTGTGCCGCGTTACATGCTAGGGGTCCGGATTAACGTCTGCAGAATAGGGCACACTGGAGCGCAAATTTCCTTCATTTGTTACGTAATTTTGCATGCGTGCCGCGTTCGTTTGGCCCCAATTTAGAAACGTGCCTGCACCGAGTCCGTAGCCCGATTCAAAGGATTGTCAAACGGGTGCTGACTTCACAAAGCTTTCGGTCGAATTTCAGTCTGTGGTCATAGGCTGCCACTTTTCAAGCTCAAAAACCTTCGTCGCGTGTCGAAAAAATCATCCGGTTCGTCTATCTGTCCAATAAAAAGCAAATGCCCATGGTAAATTACAAGACGTAGAAGTGGCGAAACGCAACCTCGAGCATCCCGGAAAGGACATTGATCAGCATATGTTTTATTTACTTTTTAGTAGTCACTCCCCTATAGCTGTGACATCGCACAAGTGCGTAATGTTTGCTTTGATGTCGGGTTGTATCTCCGAAATTTTTTCTAGATTCCGACAGATAATTCTACCAAGACTGCCTGCGTACAATCGCAGTCGCATGCGGTCTGATCTGGACCACCTCGTCTGGTAGGAGGCGGACTGTCAGTTAAATGAAACCCAGTCAACTGTCTCGTCCTCTCGATGATTCTGAGAGGTCTCCGTTGAGCAACAGCGTTCTGTTGGTGGTTTAGTTTTGAGCGCGTTTCCGTCGTAGTTGACTTAGTCGGCATCGGATACAAAATTAGCCCTCTCGACGCTAATATTCAGGGCATGTCTCAGTCAACACGTTTTGTTTTGTTTCGGTTTTTGTTGCTTGTTTAGATCGGTTCGGCCCTATTCTATTGGAAAAAATGAAAAAAGAAGATGGGATAGTTGCTGGTGCTCATTTTAAATTTATTGATAGCAGGAACCGCATTAGACATCTTCCATGGACTTCTTAGAGGTCAGAATAGGTCATTGACCTGGAATGACCCAGGTCAACATTATTTTTTGGAAATATAATGCCTAGCGAAGTCGTTGTCGCTTATTCAAATGCAAAACCCAGAACATTCTTGTATGATTTTGGTCGAAATGACCTTCAAAAGGTCATACAAGATCATTGACCTTAACTGAGCACGTGAACTTTTGCTTAGAAACAGTTGTCTTGGTTCTGGGGGCACTTTGGAGATCAGCCTGGAATTTGACCTTTTTTGACCTTATTTCACTCAGAGGCATGACCTAGGAACCTCAAACTTTGACCTAAGTGAATTCACGTACCGGTCAACACACCCTGTAAGTTTGGTGTCTCTAACTTTCTTAGTTCCCGAGATTTCAGGAGAGTCATATTGACCCCCCAACCAAGCGAAGGGTATGTAGCCGGCCACCCGGGCGCGGGATAAAAAGTGTATGGAAGGTGTATAATGCAGTTCCTGCTATGAGCAAATTCGAAATGAGCATCAGAAACTACCTCCTACAGCAAGCCCTAGAGTAATACTGCTAGTTGGTTTTGGTCTTGGTCTGGCCTTCACACCTGGCCTTAGGTCAACTTAATTTGTTCATTCAATGCTTGTGTTGCCCAATAAAGCATCTCGAAGATATATGGCTCGTCAAACACTCCTTTGTTGCATCAGATTGAACGATTCCTTAGAACTTGCCTTCGCTGAAACCATGGCCTGACTTTGACCTGCCACAGGTCAGCGACCTTACAAAGTATATCTAAATTTGTGGTACCAGAAAATCCGCTATTTAACTACCTACAGCTGTGCAAAATTTGGCTCGGCTACGCCGCGCCGTTCGGAAACCATTTCGGAAAAGCCTTCGGGTGGTCAATCTGACCCCCGCCCGAGCGCGCGTTAAATTACCAAGGTAACTCCAACACTTAAAGTGGCCAAGTGACGGCGTTTAGTCAGGATCTGCCCCCAGATTTGGCGCTAGGACCTGACACGAGCACGCCGTGCCGCCGCAGGAGTTCGCCGGCGTGGTGGAGTGGCACGGCGGCGCGGACGTGCCGTACGTGCGTGGCGACCGGCCGTTCCCCGTGCGACCGCTGCCGGCCGCCGAGCGGAGGCCGAGGGGCGGCCGGCGTCGGTTGCGCGGACGGCGCGCCGGCGGCGGCGAGCGCGGCGACACCCCGCCCGACATCCGGCTGGCGCTGGTGCCAGGCCCGGCCGCCGGCCTGGCCGACGACGAGCCGGCTGGCCCGCCTGGGCCGCGCACCGGTCTGACCCCGGCCGCCCCGGCGCGGCCGCGCACGCCAGCCGAGCCGCACCGCTCGCCGGGCCGCGGCTCGGCGACCGGCGAGTCGGCCGCCGATGGCTCGACCGCGGCAGGTTCTCCGAGGCGGGACTCGACGCTGCCCGAGGGCTCCACGCCGCGAGAGAGGTCGGTGCCGCCCGAGGGCTCCGCGCCGCCTGAAGGGTCGGAGCCGCCCGAGGGTTCCGCGCCGCCAGTTGGCTCCGCACCGTCCGAGGGCTCGGAGGCACCGGAGTCCGAGCCCGACTGCTCGCAGGGACGCACCACGCCGCCCGACTGGGCCGCCGGAGGCCTGGAGGACGCCCCGGAGGTGATGCGGCGCGCGACGCTGACTCAGCTTGACACAGCCCGCATGAGGGCGGCGGCGGGCCACCGTCGGGCGCGCTCCGGTGCTGCCCTCTCTGGACCGCGTGCCGGAGGCGGTCGGACGCCACGAGAGCCGCCAGGAGACGGCCGTGCGCCTTATCGAGGCGTTCTGCTCGGGGACGGAAGGCAACTGGAGGGAGGCCGAGTATTCCACGCCCTCTCCCAGGTAAGACGTGGTGACGAGCCACCGGGTACTGGCAGGCGGATGTTCATACAAGAGTGCAACGGACTAAGTGTGGATGCGCTAATAAATGTCTTGTGTCACAGTTTGCGTCGGAGACAAGGCTGGACGACCAGATCGCGTTCTACTCTGGCTTTGCTGTTTGCATATTGCAAAATGCACAAAGCACCAAAATATGTGACATACATCATGTATCATGTACATCATATGTATGGTATGTGCACACATGTGCATGCGCGTGCATATCGTAAACCAAACAAAGCGAGATATCAGACAACCTAGATATCTCCAAGCTGTTTGGCATGCAGCTACGATCATGCTTGTTTGAAATGTTCTGCGCAATGACCCCCACGTTGAGAATGTGTTAGATGTCCAGGCTGGTCACATTATCGAACTTATTTCTCTAAGCGCCTTCCTGCAATTTTACAGGTTAATGCTCAACATTTCACTGCTTTATCCCCGCAAAAATTCCGGTATTTCTCTGTACGACGTGAGAGAAAGAGAGAGAGAGAGAGAGAGAGAGAGAGAGAGAGAGAGAGAGAGAGAGAGAGAGAGAGAGAGAGAGAAAGAGAGGTAGAAAGAGAGTATAGAGAGAGAAAGAGAGAGAGAGAGAGGGAGAGAGAGAGAGGGAGAGAGAGAAAGAGAAAGAGAGAGAGAGAGAGAGAGAGAGAGCTGTCTGGGAACTAATACGACAATAACATTGTCACCACTGCACTCTATAGCTATTTGCACACTGCACAAAGACATGCGCTGGTATCACCACCTATTACTTCAGAACTTGGCCTCTGTCAATTATTACCAGTTCAAGTCAGTTTCGCGCAAAAAGGGTCACATTCTAACCAGAGGCACTCCACTTCAGCTTTGCGGCGGTGATAGTAGGTCTGCCGAGATCCAATCAATTTGAAATGGCTAGCGGATCCACAACATTCACGGCACCAGGAGTAAAGCCTGCCAACGGCCGGCACAATTTATCTGACACACAGAAGTCTAAAGTGACACTTTCCAGCATCATAAGCTCTCTTTCGGTTTGTGGTGAAACCTATTTATCCAATAAAATGACGCACTGAACACATTTTTCGGGCACATACGACCAAAATGCTGTGAATCGTTAATATTTGTACAGCGATTAACATAGAGTCAGAATGGAAAATCCGCGGCCACATCTCAATGGGAACAGCTGATATATTGGAAGTGTACGAGAAGTGCATGCAGTCTGGTTTTGAAACATAATCTGGTTGCGTGCATGAACAATGAAATTTGTGTCTGAAAATTGAGCTTTTGCTTGAGCTTGGAGCCACCACACTAAATGACCAGACATCATGCAGCTAATATTTATTTCATTTCCTCCTCGCCGACGTGAATGTTTGGCTGATGCCGGATGACTCATTTTAAGTTCCAAGTAATATATTTAACCTCATTTTGTACGCTCTGGTGCACTTTGTATATCCACTTCATCCATCAGTAGGCCCAATGGAGGATTGAGTGGCTTTTGAGGAAGCTTTGATTATGACCAAACATGATTAACGCCCACAGACAGCGGCGAATACGGGAATGCGATTTCAGCCAATCATCGTAGCGACGGGGCCGAGCTCGGTCGGCAGGAGACCCTCCTCAGTATTCAAGTTGTCCCGACAAAGCCGGCATGCGCCCGTCGCCTGCTGTGACGCAGCAGCGACCTCGCTCGCCGGTCCGCAGAACGTTGCGCCTGCCGATGATAAAGCTGCTGTGACGCAGCGGCCCCGCTCGCCGGTCCGCGGAAGGTGGACGCCCAGCCGATGATGAAGCTGCCGTGACGCAGCGACGCTGCTGGCCGGTCCGCAGAACGGTGGACGCTCTGCCGATGATAAAGCTGCTGCTGCGGCGCGGAGCGAGCCCGAGGCAGCAAAGTGCCGTTCCCGGCCGTGCACAGCCCTGCTGGCCGACGACAAGCCGTGCTTGGTCACACTGCTAGCGGCTGGGGGCGACCCAACAGCAGGCTGTCGCGCCAGTGAGCGCGCTGGGACCACGTCACGTCCTGTCAGGTGCGGACGTGGGGACAAACAGCTCTGCCGTTCCGGCGGGAGAGCAGAAGCCAGACACGTGAGGACGACTGTGACGCCTGCGGTCACTAAGTAAGGGGTGGAAGCGGCCGCTCTCCTGGCAGGCAAAAAAACAAGGCCGATTGGTCAGTAAGCTAAAAGAGATAGCTGGTCCTTGCACTGGCTCTAAAGGCCATTGGGAATTGGCGCTTTAATTGCAACAGACCCGATTCATTTTGTAAAGCCTCGCTGAAGTCACATGCAGCCACAACATTTATCAATAAGAGAGAAAGCGTTACGGTTTATGTGGTCTTT